CGGCCACTGCACTCCAGTCTGGGCAACAGAGTGAGATTCCGACTCAAAAAAAAAAAAAGCCTGCCTTCCCAGGGACCTGGGCTGACAGAGGGTGTCAACAATAGTCATCTAGAAAAGACAAAAGACACAGATTAGGTGTTATTTTTGAACCTGGACTCTGGGTGGGTGCCTGTAGGGGCTAGAGCAGTGCCTATAGGAACCAGGCCTTAGGAGGGATTAGAAGTCTCTATAAAATCCGGTTCCTGGGTGTGTCTCAAAAGTGCCTGTACAGGTGTTTTCAGGGTTGTGGTGTTGGTGGGGGCGTCCTGGGTTGAGGGCTGCAGATCCATGTAAGGTTAATGAAGGAGGTGGCCTCTCCAGGTGAAGCTGGCTGTGAGGAGGGCCTGGGTGGTGAGGAGGAGGCTGGGGAACTGCTGCAGTGTGGCAGCCGTGTTGCACAAGTCCTGCTCACAGCAGTGGTGTCGAAGAGTGTAGGAGCGTGACCAGTAGCTGGCATGGTCCTGTAGAGGGCACTGGGCCCTTGGGAGGCAGCCTTTTCGCTCAATGATCTCATTCTGGTCTGTGGGACAAAGGAGGGATGCTGAGGTGGGGCCACAGGAAAAGCAGGATGGATGGAGGTAAGGAGCCACTTGGAGAAGGGCCATGGGACAGGAGTCCTACCTGAGGTGCCAGTACTGATGCCACAAGCTTCATCCTCCTGACACTCGGTGGGAACAGGGTAGCAGGGTTTGGCAAAGCTGCAGGTGTAACAGCGGAGTCTTCCCCGGGCCGGGGACGTGGTGAGACCTGTTGAGTCAGCAGAGGTTAGAGCAGGAGAGAGAGGCAAACCCTGGGGAAGAGGCAGAGATTAGGGAGAGGTACAGCAGAGAGAGGTGACACACAAAGTGGGGAGAGGGAAGCATGAACTGAGGGAGAAGGGCAGACAGAAGTAGAAAAAGAGACACAGAGAGGGGAGAAGAGACAATGAAGGAAGAGTAATAGAGACAAAGGCAAGAGGGATACAGAGATAGAGAGAAACACACGGACATGAATAGAAGCCTAGAGAATCAGAGAGGAGCATAAAGAGCAACACAAAAAGTCAGACCTGGCAGGGAGGTGGAGGGGGGATGTGAAAACGTTAAGTAGATGGCGCCAGAGACAGATAAGAAAATATAAATTGACATTGATTGAGGGGCCCAGCACAGGAGCAAGAGGTGAGATAAGGGACTGGGGAGACAGAGGCAGGTCAGATGCAGCAAGGAAGAGACAGTTATTCCCAAATGGCTTTGAAAGGAAACTTTTCCTCTTCCACCTTACTAGGCTGACCTGAGGCTGTTCCCAGTGGCTAGTCTCCCTAAACCCACCCCACCCAGAGCTTTCTTCCTGGTCTCAGCCAGCAACCCTCTCCAGCCCAAATGTTCCTACACAAGTCCCTGCCCCAGTACCCTGCCCCCTGAAGATTCCTCAGCCCACCCTTACCCAGTGCCCCACTGAGAAACAGGACACAGAGGAAGAAGCTGACGGTGCCCATGGCTGGACCAGGGCTCAGGAGTCTGGGAGAAGGTGATCTGCACCCTAAGGTCCTGAGAGTTGGAGAGTTGGAGCACCTGAGCAAGACAGGGAGGGACCTGTAAACAAACACATCTAGGGAGTGAATCTGGGGGGGCGGGAACTGTGACCAAATTCAGCAGCGTCATGCAGTCAGCAGCCAGGCTCCCAGCCCTCTGCTTCTGTGCCCCCACATCTTTCATACCCTCCCTGCTCCAATGAGTCTGCTGTTGTCTGGAGGATCTCCTCTGTTCTCTCAGTGTGCTTGTCTCGTGACTTAGCTCTATCTCCTCCTCCTAAGTTGTGTCTGTCACCTTCCCTCCTACTCCTCTCCTTCCCTCTCTTCATTGCAAGCTGCTCCCTGCTCTCTCAACTTGTCTCCCCATCTTTGGTCTTTGTTTTCTGTCTTTCCTCTTCGGTGCTTTTATGTCTCTCAAGGTCACCCTCCTAAACAACCCTAGCTTAGATGTGTTTGAGTGTGGAATCAACAATATTCTCACCCACGCACGCCCCCTCGCCACGCACACACAAAGCCCAGCTGTGTAAGGGTGGACCCCACCCAACTTCAGATTCCTTTGATCCCCACAAGCCTCAACATTCCTACCCCGTGATTATCCCTGCCAGGTTTATTACCTTGGAGGAAAGAATTAATCACAAGTAGGGCTGGAGGACTGGATGTGCTTCCACTGAGGAGAAAGCAGAAAGACTAAGAAAGAAGGTATAGATAGGATTTGGGGTTGGGGCGAGTATGGTAGAGTCTGGAAGACTGGGGATGTAGAGATTAGAGAGGAGAAGGGCTGCATCTGGGGAGTCAGGGTCAGAATGATCTAGGAAGATGGGGGATGGGACAGGGGAGACATCCAGGAAAGGGAAGTCTTCAGAAACTTTTATCTCAAGATCTCTTTACACTCTTAAAAATTACTTAAGAGCCAGGCTTGGTGGCTCAGCCTGTAATCCCGCGCCTTTGGGAGGCTGAGGTGAGTGGATTACCTGAGCCTGCGGGTTCGA